TTTTCTTTGTAACTGATCGATAACATGGCAGCGGAGTACGCATGGTTACCGTTGATCCCGCCAAATTTACAACCATTCAACGGTAACAGCCAATTTACCTATGGGGTAAACTTTGCTTCAGGTGGCGCCGGAGCTTTGGTCGGAACCTTTTCTGGATTGGTATTCATTAGTAACTACTTTACATTGGTTTTATTTATTTATTTTCTTTTGTTGACTCCATGGTAATTGTTTGTCTTGTCTACTTTTTTTTTCTTTTTCAAAAAACATTTTTCACCACTGCAAGGTGATAAATTTAAGAACACAATTAAACAACTTCAAGAAGGTTGAAAAAATGTTAAGGTCTAAGTTAGGAGATGCTGAGGGGAAGAGGGTTATCTCAAGAGCTGTTTATCTGTTTCATATCGGACTCAATGACTATCAATATCCATTCACTTCAAACTCTTCCTTATTTCAATCTATTTCCAAAGAGAAATACGTCGATTATGTTGTCGGTAACATGACAGATGTTTTCAAGGTAATTTTTAATAGAGTTTCTATTGTGAACAACTTTTGGTCTGAAAAATGAGAGATGATGTTGTGTTCTTAGGAAGTGTATAATCTTGGAGGAAGGAAGTTTGGAATCTTGAACACGGGACCGTACGATTGTGCACCAGCCTCATTGGTTATAGACCAAACAAAAATAAGATCTTGTTTTCAGCCGGTCACTGAACTGATCAATATGCACAACGAGAAGCTTCTGAATGGTTTGAGACGGCTAAATCATGAACTATCCGGATTCAAATACGCCCTTCACGACTATCACACTTCCCTATCGGAAAGGATGAACGATCCTTCAAAATATGGTAACAAAACTTGGTTAATAATTGCAATATATATAACAGAGTCTTTACTATAAACTTTTTGATCGTTTTGAAGGGTTCAAGGAGGGGAAGAAAGCATGTTGCGGAAGCGGACCATTGAGAGGAATCAATACGTGTGGAGGCCGAATGGGACTGTCGCAAAGTTACGAGTTATGTGAAAACGTTACAGACTATTTGTTCTTTGATCCTTTTCATTTGACGGAAAAGGCTAATCGACAGATCGCTGAGCTGATTTGGAGCGGACCTACCAACATTACTGGACCCTATAATCTCAAAGCGCTGTTTGAACTTAATTAAAGCTCACTATCTCGTCGTGTCATCTTGTTTGGTTTTCATTAAAAAAAATTTTGTGTATTTGAATTGTCACCAGAATCTTTCAGTTTTCTTAGACTCTTGGTCTCCAAGGCTTTACGCGAGCGTATATCACTCGTTTCGATTTTGAGTTTTTGACCGTTTGAACTTTGAAGAGTGTTTCTTCAAATTAAACCAAACCAATTTTACAAAACCAAAATTCATAACTGATTCTTTTGGTTCACACTAAACCGAGTTTATCAAAACTACTTTAAAATATGGTTTGGTTTAACCAAATTATACGTCTTAATCAATGATTAGGAGACTTTATTAAAGTCTATAACCGCAATTCGTCATCAACTACCATTTCCTTCTCCAATGGAGTTCTTCTCTGAGAGTGAGAGGAATCACTGAAAAAATCATACTGACCATTTCCCAAAAAGTTATGTACTTATTCTGACGAAATCTGCAGGAAATTCTCAATTTTTTTAAAAGAAGTAGCTTTTTGGAGTTATGGAGACGGAGATTCCTAGGTCAACGGAGATATCAGAGACATTGTTGTTACCAGAAACGAATCTAGATCACGGTGAATATGTACCCGAGTGGAAGGAACAGATCACGATTCGAGGCTTGATCTCTAGCGCCTTGTTAGGGATTTTGTTCTGTATCATTACCCATAAGCTCAATCTAACAATCGGAATCATTCCTTCGCTTAATGTAGCTGCTGGTCTTCTCGGCTTCTTCTTCATCAAGTCGTGGACTGGGTTCTTGTCTAAATTAGGGTTTTTATCTAAACCCTTTACTAAGCAAGAGAACACTGTTATTCAGACTTGCGTTGTCTCCTGCTACGGCCTTGCTTATAGCGGTAAAAATCGTTACTTGCTTAAATATGGGTCAATAGTAATCTTCTTGATTTGGTTACGTTTAGTTTCAATTCCTATGTGTTGATGATGAACAATGGGAGATATGGATGATACTAACTTTGGATCCACTTGATGACTTTGCTGAAGGGAACTGTAGCTATTCCAGATTTATGATGATCAAGTTTGATTTTTTTGTGTGCCTAATCTGATATAGTTTCTTGTTTTTTTAGGAGGATTTGGTTCGTATTTGATAGCTATGGATGAAAGGACATATAAGCTCATTGGTTCTGATTATCCTGGAAACAATCCTGAAGATGTTATAAATCCTGGATTGTGGTGGATGACTGGCTTTTTATTTGTAGTTAGCTTCCTCGGTCTCTTCTGTCTCGTTCCACTTCGCAAGGTAGCGTCTCATTACTGCGATATTAGTATTAATCAAAACAAAATATCTAAGAGAACACTATTGTTTGATCTGTTGATCCTTATTCAATAGTGTATCTTAGGTGATGATTTTGGATTACAAGCTTACGTATCCCAGTGGAACCGCTACAGCAATGTTGATTAACAGTTTCCACAACAATACTGGAGCTGAGCTTGCAGGGTAATTGTCAGAGATTCATCTTCAATATTCAACTCCCTGCAAAACATTGCTTGAGTTTCATTAAAAATTTATCTCCAATATTATTCACATCAGAAAACAAGTCAAATGTCTTGGGAAATACCTGAGCCTTAGCTTAGTTTGGAGTTGCTTCAAGTGGTTCTTTAGTGGTATTGGAGGTGCATGTGGGTTTGATCACTTTCCCACACTTGGTTTGACTCTATTCAAGAACACGTAAGTTAACCAATTTCGTACAGTTTAACAATAAGTAAATGAGAATGGTTTAGCATGTGGATATAATTGGTAACGAGTCATGATTTTTTCTGCTGTGCAGGTTTTACTTTGATTTCAGTCCTACTTTTATTGGATGTGGCATGATATGTCCCCATTTGGTGAACTGTTCGGTTCTTCTTGGTGCTATCATCTCTTGGGGTTTTCTCTGGCCATTTATATCACAGCATGCTGGGGACTGGTATCCAGCTGACCTTAAAGCCAACGATTTCAAAGGTCTCTATGGATATAAGGTACACAATAAACCGATTAAGTAGGAAGAATTTAATGTTAGTAGATGAATTTCATAGGTACTCTCATTGTGGTGGTTACTGATTCTCTTTCATATAATTACTGTACTTATAGGTATTTATCGCCATTTCTATCATCCTTGGTGACGGTCTCTACAACCTCATTAAGATCATTGTTGTCACTGTGAAGGAAATCTGCAACAAAAGCTCCAGACAACACAACCTACCTGTCTTTACCGACATTTTAGGTGCGAATATATATGATCCTGATTCACAATCGCGTTTGTTAGTAATAGTCATAGTTATTAATAAAGGTGTCTCTCATGACCATACTGACAACGTCTGTCTCAAATATTTTCTTAAGAGTTTCTTTCTCCATTCTTAATTCAGATAAAAGTAAGACCTCAGTATTAATGCGGGAGAAGAAGAAAAGAGATATCATATTTCTCAAGGACCGTATACCCCTCGAGTTTGCGGTTTCTGGTTATGTGGGTCTTGCAGCTATTTCAACCGCTATAATCCCGTTGATATTCCCACCATTGAAATGGTACTTTGTCCTCTGTTCATACTTAGTTGCCCCGGGTCTTGCTTTTTGCAATTCTTATGGAGCCGGGCTCACAGATATGAGCATGCCTTCAACCTACGGAAAGACTGGTCTTTTCATCGTTGCTTCAATTGTAGGAAATAATGGTGGAGTCATTGCCGGTTTAGCAGCATGTGGCATTATGATGTCAATCGTCTCAACTGCAGCGGATCTCATGCAGGATTTTAAAACAGGTTACCTCACACTATCATCTGCAAAATCCATGTTTGTAACTCAGCTTTTGGGTACAGCAATGGGTTGCATAATCGCTCCTCTCACGTTCTGGCTGTTTTGGACTGCTTTTGATATTGGAGATCCTGATGGTCTATACAAAGCACCTTACGCGGTCATCTACCGCGAAATGGCTATTCTCGGGGTCGAAGGCTTTGCCAAACTGCCCAAACACTGTTTGGCACTTTGTTGTGGATTCTTCATCGCTGCTCTGATTGTAAATCTAATTAGAGACATGACACCACCAAAGATCTCTAAGTTGATACCACTTCCAATGGCAATGGCTGGTCCATTCTACATAGGAGCTTACTTCGCCATCGACATGTTCGTAGGAACCGTGATAATGCTCGTATGGGAACGGATGAATAAGAAAGACGCAGATGATTACTCGGGTGCAGTAGCTTCAGGTCTGATCTGCGGAGATGGAATTTGGACCATCCCATCCGCAATTCTTTCTATATTAAGAATCAATCCACCCATTTGTATGTACTTTAGACCATCCTAGACATTGTTATCATGTTAAAAATTTGTTGCATTATGGCAGATAATAGAGTTTTTATATCTCACTCTAGAACACAAAGTGCCAATAGCAACAAGTATGTGGCATAAAGTCAAACAGACAAGGTTGACCAACGAAACTTTATTTGGGCTTATTCTGTAAGCCCATAGACTTTTGTTAAGAAGCCCATACGAATCTCTTTCCTCGTCTTTTCGACCGAAATTATTAAAACCTCTAATTCCTCCTCAAAAACCCTAAAATCCCAATTGAGAAAATTTAGACGCTCAAGGTTTTGTTTACATCTTGTCCGGTGGCTCGAAGCAAATTCAACTTCTGCGTACTGTTTCTTTGTTGAATCATGGATCCAGCACCCGAACCCGTTACTTACGTCTGCGGAGGTAAGCTCGACTTGAAAACTTCATCGAACATCTAATTTTGCTTTGAAATCAAAGTTTTGTTAGTATCTGTAAAAGATTGTAGCTTTGTGAAATTAAATGCTAAAGTTGCCTCTTTTGAGTAGCCATATGAATCCTAATCTATTAGGAAATTTCATAATCTGGCTTAGTTAGGAGGCATAAATCAATCTTGATCATCAATACTTTACTGTATTGTATTGATCTATTTGACTTGAGGTCTTTTTGAGGAGGAGCTTTGCTTCTGCTAAGTATCAAGCTTCTCCCAAGCAGCCTCAGACATATACACTTTTAAACCAAAATTCATAAGTAAAAAGGTTGTCTTCGTTTTATGGGTTTGCTTAATTTCTTATTTTCTGTATCATCAGATTGTGGTCAAGAGAACACTTTGAAGTCTGGGGATGTGATCCAATGCAGAGAGTGTGGGTACCGTATTCTCTACAAGAAGCGTACCCGTAGAGGTGACTTATTCTTAATCCTCTCCTTTTGTTTTGTAATGTTTTTTGCTTTCTTTGATTCCTCTTTTTTTGGATCTTGTTCCTAGTTTATAAAAGTGATGGCACCATTTTGAATGCCTCTCAACATATACATGATATCGGGATCCTTTTTTAAGTCTTGATCATAGTTTATGATACTGATGGAACGATTTTCAGTGTGTCTTATATAACGCAAATGTTCTAAGGATCTGGTTTCCGAATTTATCTTGAGATTGTTAATCTGTTGGTTTTCTTGTACAAAATGTAGATGTTGTAAACTTGTTTCCGGCTAATTTATTTGATGGTTTATTCTCTTGCAGTTGTTCAATACGAAGCTCGCTGAGAACTACTACTCCTGAAGGTGGTTCATAGTCTGTTAAGATGGGTTGAGACTTTTTGGCACTGTTTGTGATATATATATCGACATGGTGATTGCTACATTGCCAGTTCGATTTGATTTGGTCACAGTGTGACTGTGTAATGACTTTACCGTTTTGATAGATGTAATTCTTGGAATAACTAAGTTCACATTGCTATAATCCTTGATTGGCTATAATCTCTCGTTGTTTTGCTACCTTTGTTCTTTAGTGTACTCTGCATTTAGTTGATCAGATTCTGGTGGTGGAAAAGGTAGTGACTACCATATATCAATCTTGTTTGCTACATATTAAGTGTTCGGAAGAAATCGAAGAGAGACATGAAGAGAACCCACCACAATGTTACTCTCAAAATACCTTTTTAGTACCAAGCAGATGGATAAATTAGTGTGTTAATATCTGTCTAACGAAACCTTTGGTAAGTCCTATAGGCTATGGCTACAAGTAGAAGAGTCAACACAAGAGAATAATCGCGGCAAATATGCTCCCTATTAGCTTTCATCAAATACAAACTATGAGTTTTCAATCTCATGATACATTTATCTCGAATACCAAATGCTATGAAATAATCTATACGTTACTAAATACTAGTACTCTCTTCGGGTGGTTACTTCACTATTTCATATCATTCATTACCGAATTTACAAGCCTTAATTGCCATTGCTATCGTCCTTGGTGACTGTATCTAAAACCTGGCTAAACTCATTGTTGTCACTGATAAACTCTTCCAACAAAAGCTCCAAACAAAACCAACTGTAGCAATTTTTTTTTTTTTTGTCAAAACCAACTGTAGCATTTATATAATAGTCTGGGTTATCAAAATCAAATACATTCTCAGAGTTTCTATCTGCTGACATAAGAAAGTACCAACACATATTATCAAACAATAAAAAGTACCGAAAAACATGTAAGGTATGGTTCCAAACTTAATCTTCAGGATCATAGGGTCTGTTGTCAAAATCCTCTCTGTCCTCAGCTATGTCAGGGCAATACCTGTCAGACAAAATCTCAACTTGTTCTGCAAATGTTTTCGATTTCGGTACGCCGATATGAATGATCATCTGGTTCCACCGTTTTCTACAAGCTTCTCCATCTCGATTCTCCAAAAGATTATCCCAATCCACATCGTCGATACAAGCAGCATCCAGTTTCAAAAGCTCTTCCAAGAGCCTATAGTCATCAACGTTAGCCCACATTCCCTTTGCTACCATTGGTGATATCAACTGCTCATACCATTTCTGGCAGCAAGTCACGTGGTCCCGTGTTTCAAGTACGTCGCTTATAGCCATCCAAGGGATGTTATCTTTGAGCATACCATGTTTTGAGTGTTTCTCTTTGAATGCTTTCATTCTAAGGTCTTTGTTGACAAGGTCAAAGAGGTTTTGATACTCCTCCCTCATCCAATGTCCTTTCTTCTTACCTGCCAATCTTCCTCTCCTCCAAGCGTCTTTCACATGCTTCCTGTGCTTACCCATTGCATCTGCAAGTGTTTTCCAATCATTCCCGTGTGTCTTTTGAAACTCCATAACGAGTTCAATATCCTCTTTCGTCCATATCCCCTGAGATCCTGCTTCAAATATAGTATGTGCACGATGATACACACTATTATAAGTCCTCCAAGGTAAAGCAGATGTAATTTCTTTCCAACAGCCTTTAAGTTGTGGGTATGCCTTGCATTCCATAACCATCTTTATCCCCTCATCTCCTAAAGCATGGTTATCAATGTATTCTAATACAGCATTCTTTACCATCTCATCTTCTTCTTTTGTAAACCGCTTACCCCTCACCACCTTAACTTCTTCATCATCATCTTCCGTTCCTTCATCATCATCACTAGGAAAAAACTCCACTTGGTCAGAAAACTTCACCCTTTTACTTGATGTAGATGGGGTGGTCAAGTCTTCATCACTTTTATCAGACTTTTCTTCAGCCTCAGAGACTTCACTTTGCTTCTTTTTCTTCTTCTTCTTCCTTCTCTTCTTTGCGTCTTTGGTAGAGTTCAAGCCGTTTTCTTCAGTCTCTGAATCCTCACTTTGTTTCTTTTTCTTCCTTTTCTTCTTTCCATCATTTGTAGAGTCCAAATTGATATCTTCAACATCTGAATCCACACTTGGTTTCTTCTTCTTGTTCTTCCTCTTCACCTCCTTGTCTATGTTTTCTTCAGCTCCCAAATCAGTATCATCCCGCTTTCTTTTTCCCTTTTTCTTATCAGATACTTTGGAGCTTTCAGTATTTTCTATCACATCACCACCAGATTCTTTCTTGCTCTTCTTCTTCTTCCTCTTCACACCATCATGAGCTTCAGAATCAACCTTTGTCTCCTTACTTTTCTCCTTGGATTTCTTCTCCACACCATCATCCTCAGCTTCGGAATCAGCCTTTGTCTCCTTACTTCTCTTTTTCGATTTCGTCTTCACAGCATCAACAGCTTCAGAATCAATCCTTATTGGCTTCTTCGACTTCTTCTTCTTCTTAACTATAAAAACCTCATCACCTAGTTTCTCACTTTCACGCCCAGTTATCTCCATATCTTCTCCAGTAAAACCATCCTTATTCTCTCGCTTATTCTTCTTCTTCCTCTTCTTTTCCTTATCCTTCATAGAACTGTGCTCGGAAATGAATTCTTCACCGGTTTCTTCAGAATCAACCTTAGCGTCACTCTTTTTCTTCTTATTCTTCTTCTCCTCAGCCATCTCATATACCGGCGGACACGGTTACGAAACCCTAATCACAAAAACCGCCGCGACTTTCGCTCAAATCTAAATCCGAATTTCGATTGAGTGATTTTAAGACACAGCGATGCTGAGATTGATTGTGAAGGAGCTTTTGGATACGGCGGCTTCCTTCATGAATTTGAGATCATTAGGGTATTTAATTACTTTTGTTAAAAAAAATTCCTTTGAACTTGGGTCTTCAATGACCCACTACCCATATTTGGGGCTTGAGTACTACTAGGCCCAACGTATTGCTCTTGACGTTATCAAGTTTTAACAAGAGTTTGATCTAATTTCTATCACTTATGTTACAACTTACAAAGTTGGTGGTTATATTGTGAAATTTATAAATGATTTGGAAGAAAAAGAAATCAAATAATTACTACTATAATAAATCAGTATATAAGAGACCTTGGGAAAAGTATTTAAAAATGTAGAATCTTCTTGGATTAACTTCAATGTTTTGTGTGGTGGAGTTTGGATCTTACATGATCATTTGGGACAAAGCTAGTTTTCATCAAAGGGATGCAATTGAAGAACATACTAAACATATATAATCGAAAACTGATATAAAAAAACATAAACACAAAGGTTTGTTTTGAGTTTTGACCTTATTATCAAGTGATGAAAGAATGTAAAACTTAGTTTTTAATGATGTTGATAACCTCTTTTGATTTAAATAAATTCTTTTTAATGTGTGATTTATGCTCAAAACTAAATTTTTCTAATGTTTTCATATTATTTAATTTTGCCCTTGTTAACTCTCATGGATGTTGCCATGTTGATTTGATTGAGCTTTGGATTGGAATTCATTCGGTATGTAAGAATATTTCGTGATTATAGAACTTCTAATTATGTAAAAAAAATAAAATAATGCGTGAAAATAATAAAAAGTTGTTACCCTTTTTTTTTACTTAGGTCAAAAGGTCACAACACACGCCCCACCTTGAATCTGAGAGAGAGAGAGAAGTACGTCCCCACACCTTGACATGGTCATGGAGCCCAAGAAGAACCAAAATCTACCAAGTTTCTTAAACCCATCACGACAGAATCAGGACAACGACAAGAAGAGGAAACAAACAGAGGTTAAAGGTTTCGACATTGTGGTCGGCGAAAAGAGGAAGAAGAAGGAGAATGAAGAGGAAGACCACGAGATTCAGATTCTTGATGAGAAGGAGAAGAAGAAACCAAACAAAGATCGTCACCTTAAAGTTGAAGGAAGAGGTCGTAGAGTTAGGTTACCTCCACTCTGTGCAGCAAGGATTTATCAATTGACTAAAGAATTAGGTCACAAATCAGATGGTGAGACTCTTGAATGGTTGCTTCAACATGCTGAGCCATCGATACTCTCTGCTACTGTAAATGGTATCAAACCCACTGAGTCTGTTGTTTCTCAACCTCCTCTCACGGCTGATTTGATGATTTGTCATAGCGTTGAAGAAGCTTCAAGGACTCAAATGGAGGCAAATGGGTTGTGGAGAAATGAAACAGGACAGACCATTGGAGGGTTTGATCTGAATTACGGAATTGGGTTTGATTTCAATGGTGTTCCAGAGATTGGTTTTGGAGATAATCAAACGCCTGGACTTGAATTAAGGCTGTCTCAAGTTGGGGTTTTGAATCCACAGGTTTTTCAACAAATGGGTAAAGAACAGTTCAGGGTTCTTCATCATCATTCACATGAAGATCAGCAGCAGAGTGCAGAGGAAAATGGTTCA